TTTTATAACATGACTAATGTGGAAATGTTTAATATGACAGTACATTTATAACCTATATCAGATTACATGCCCTCTTGGGGAGGGGGAAGGGGAAGGAGAAAAAAATTTGGAACTCAAAATCTTATAAAAGTGAATGTTGAAAACTAGCTTTACATGTAATTGGAAAAAAATAAAATACTATCAAGTAGGGGGGAAAGTACATATAGAAAAAAATTTTATTAAAAAGAAAAAGAAATCACTTTTAAAACATTAAAAAAAATCCACAATCCCATGATTCTTTGGGCTTCAGGTTCCTTGAAGGTCTAGGGAATAATGATTGATCAAAGTTAATATAGTCAAGCTCTTAAAATTCATGGACAGTCTTTTTGAAATCATGATTGGACTGCCCTGTCTTGGAAACACCCAATGTTCCCTGGACCCTTAGACACAGGTAATTTATCTAGATTGTAAATTTGTTTTACAAACTGGGAAGTTTTTCATAATTATCCTAAAGATGACACAGATCCAGTAACTTTAGAAGCCATCAGCATCTTAGCTGGGAAGAGAGCAGGAGAAAGGGGGAAAAAGAGCAGTGGGAAAACCTGTACCTGCACAGTACAGCTTCTTATCACTTCAAAGAAAACTATTCTAGCTTAACAATGAAGCAAAAAGCAGAAAGGTATACAACACATTGGACTTAATATAAGTGTTTCTTCTATATACAACACATTGGACTTAATATAAGTGTTTCTTCTACTTAGGAAGGGAATCTCCCAAAATAGAGGTTGCATTAGCACCTTCATCACCCAATAAATAACACATGGATCTAATCTCACACAGTAGGTTGGTTCCTCAATTAGCCTAACTCATACACACTAATGGGCAGCTAGTTCATACAACGGATAGAGCACTGGGCCTGGAGTCAGACAGACCTGAGTTTAAATCCAGCTCTGATATTTACTAGCTATGTGACCCTTGGCAATTCACTTAACCCTGCCTGCCTCATCTCATCTGTAAACTGAGCTGGAGAAAGAAATGGTGAAACACTGCAGTATCTCTGCCAAGAAAACCCCAAACACGATCGCAAAGAGCCGGACACAACTGAAACAACTAAATATATATGTAGAAATTATATGTAAGGATCACCCAAAACTGGAATGGTGACAGAAGCCATATAAAGACAGACCAACAAAAAGCCCATTCATCATCACCATCATTATCTTCACTACCACAACTACTACTCACACTTACACAGACTGTCTGATTTTAATTGAATAGACTGTCTCTAGTACTTCAATCACTCTTCATTTTTGCTTCTATCTGAAGCATCAGCCCCACTCAGTACCTTATAGCTAAATTCCTGGGTCAGGCTGCTATATCTGTAATTCTCCTCACATATGCCCTTCTGCAAAAACTCCAGTTTAAAAGCCCCTCCCTCTCACACAGACCTGGGAAATTGTTACTATATCTTTAAAAGAAGCAATAGAGGAATCTGTGAGAGTTAACAGAGAACTGACAATCTTTCCTAACGAGGTTTGGTGAATTAATTATCATGAAGAAAGAACCTAAGAAAGCCTACAACAATTAACCTTCATCTTTGAGAGGATCTGAAGAGCCATTTTGAGGGACTGAGCTTAACTCTCACTCGCTGGAGAAGGAAATCTAACAACTTCCAAGAAATTTTTAAATGCCATCCAAACTGTTGGACTGTCATTCTAGTGTTGTGGGAGAGTCGTCAATTGTACCTATTGAGGAGATACGACTGTTCTCACAACTGATTCACTGTTGAATTGTTTAACTCTCTGTATTATTGTTTGTGACTGTTAATAAATTTTATAGCCACTAACACTGATGTTTAAAAATTAGAAAAGATAGGTGAAATTCTTGTCAGAACTGAAAATGGCTCAAAGCATGGAGGAATAGATAACAGAGGGCAGAGTCTGGATTCAAAAAGATCTCAGTAGGCTAGAATAATGGGTTGATTTTAATAAGATGAAATTTAGTAGCAATAAACATAAGGTTTTACACTTGGGTTAAAAAAAGTTAAAACTTTACAAATATGGATTAGGGGAAATGTAGATAAGCAACAGCCCTTCCAGTTGGCAGCATGTTGCCTTTCACTGGCAAGGCCTTCAACAACACAGAATCACTTCACCCCACAATAAGATTCTGGGGTTAGACTTTAACGAAGGAGCTATCTGAGGCTGTAGTTTCTTTCTTGCTTCAAAGTGCCCACTGATATTTTAATTTCTGCCTGTAGAAGTAACACTGAGAAATAGAACCAAGCCCTTGCATTGGACTGAATCTACTTTCTGCTTACCATATGTATGCATCTGCACCTTCCAGGAGCAGCTCCATGTAGGGAGATTTCCTTGTTTTTATCCTTAGGATCTCTTCCTAATGTGAAGATACCTCTATGTATGTCATTTGAACCCTGTCTTCTAAGATTACTTTCCATCTACATTCTGTGTGTGTGTGTGTGTTGTATTCAAACACACATTGAAAAAAGGGACTTTTTTTGTTTTTGCCTTTCTTTATATCTGTAGTGCTTTAGCACAATGCCTGACTGACTGAATGCTATCTCAACACCTACTACTTGCCAATATATTTCAAACATGTCAGAGTCCATTTATTCAAGAAGTCATAACATGAATGTTGTATTCAGCAACCCAATAATGCTAAACGAGGTACTGAACATGTACTATCTACATACCATCAATTATTATATGAATAAGAGCATTCACTAAATCATTACCACTTATCTGTGAACATCACCTTTTCAAACATATCTTAAAAGAGTAATTATCAACAACAGGCAGGCACTTTGTGTTTATGATTCTATTAAAGCTAAGTGGACTAATAAGGAGAAACAAATAATCACCGGGGAAAAAACAGAACAAGAATAATATTTTTTTAAAATTCCAGATGGAAGGCCTATGTGTAACAGGTGGTTGGTTGGCTATTGTTGTTTGGGGGAGGGAGGGGTAGCATTAACTACCATGGATAAAATTGTACCAAGTGTGTATTGCTAGGTGAAAGCCACACTTTTCAGGTGCTCTTAAGGGAGAAACACACTAAACCCCAACTCTCTCTCTCTGCTAGTTGACTGGTTATCTTACTAATTCTCTCATATTGAGCCCTAAGGCAATGTAGAAAGTATATTCTGAAATTACCATAAGTTTCCACAAATGCAGAAACAAACAATTTATAACTTAAATGCCCACCCTGTTTTATTTTAAAAAAAAAACTAAAGAAACCTTTTTTTGCTTTAAATTTTTTCTCCTTTCTCAGTCTCTTTCACTCTAAGACTCACAGCTTAGAGAAACATCAGTGTCATTGGCTATAAAATTCATTAATAATAACAAGAGTTAAATAGTTCAATAATGAATTAGTTGAACTCCTAACAAGACACTCATTATATTCTTCTATGAGTTTTAAGAACTGTTAATAGCCAAATGAAATTGTTACCCTTCAACTACCTTACTGGAAAGCCTCCAGAAATTTCCCCAGACTGATTCTCAGACAAGCAACAACCAATTTCTTGGCTAATATTCAAAGCCTTGGTAGTTAAAAGGATATGTCAGAATTCATAATCTCCTGCTACAAACACATGAACCATCCGAGTAAGTCGTTAAAAAGTGATGTAATAATACAACTTATTACAACAAAACTCTAATATAATAGAACAATATAACAGAATAATATAAATGCCTCGTGGGTTTTCTACATAACAGCACTAGGCAAAATTTTGCCCTAAAGGTTTAACAGAAATATCCCTGAATTCCAGGTACTGTCTCAACTTCCTAATTTTAAGAGGTTCAATGAAGAGGATGACTTCAGTGTGTTTCTCTCATTCCAATAGACTAGTTCTTACACGAGTAAGAAAACAATCCCACATTTTTATGTACTTTGTATGTTGTTGCTGCCCCCTGCTGTTCCTAAATCTACCTAACTTTCTTTTCATGGCATTATATTTGTTTTTGCCCAAGTGATTGATCACAAACCAAAAAAAGCCCACAAGCAAAAGAAAATAGCAATTTTATAGCCAAATATTTAAAGCTTTAAAGTCATAATTTCCCTTTGAAATATTAGTGCATTTAGTTAATTTTTCAATTCATCATTCTCATTGCTTTGAGGACTTCTGAATCTAAAAAAAACCTAATACTGTATTGTTCTTCTTAAGAATCAAGTTCTAGTTAATTTAACATAAATACAAATTCTTTTCCACAGCCAGAAACGGCCCCTACTGTCACCTATTTTGCCTGCAATGCCCAAGGTAACCTCAAATATTACGTTTCTAATTCATTTATTAAAGTACAAAGATGTAGGTCAAACCTACAGGCATATCCTGCTTTCAGGCAGCCTTGAGTGAGAAAATAGCATCCTTCAACTTTAATCCAACAATTTTCTGCTTCCTCCCACCTTGCCAAAGCCTGATGGCATACCAATACTAGCTGGCCTTCTTGTAAATGCTTAACTGTCACAAGGATTACAAGCTCATGGATACAGAACTAGAAGAGATCTTGAAAGACATCTGGTCCAACCACTCATTTTATAGATGAGGAAAGTTAAATAATGTCCCCAGGGTCACACTGATAAGAAGTGGCAGAACAAGGGTTCTAACCCAGGTCCCACGATTCCAAATCCAGCTTCTTTCCTTCCGCTGAACTGCATTCCCTCCCAGGCAGTGGACTGACAAATCACCAAGCTGGAAGGCATCCCTAGAGATCAATTTATCCACCATATATCATTTTAATATGATTAAACTCAGGCACAGGAGTTAAAGGACTTGAACATTTGCATGGCCAGAGGACAGGAGTAGAGCTCAGATGAGAACCCAGACCCTCCTACACCAGCCCAGTTCCACTGTGAATCAGTACAAACTCTTTAATAGAAAAACATACAAATATAATTAAGAATGGGTTTGCAGCATCTTCTTTCTAACAGATTGCAGTACATTTTCATGGCAATCAAAGAGTGAGATTTCAATGGAAGGAATAAAAACCACAATCATTTGTTACCTTCGTGTTTTTCCAGTGCTTGTATAACATTAGGAAGATGGTTTATGGCTTGATAGATTCTATAACAATCTTGTAAACTGGCTGCATGCCTCTGAAACTTTTTGGCAAATCGGTTAAGATCTGGGAAACGACGAAGTAGGTCTTCTTGTAAACTCTGTCTCAGCTCTGCATCTACTACAAAGACCTCCACTAAATTTAATCTGAAATAAAGCATTTATCAAAAATTAATCATAAATACCATAATAAAGCACAACTAAAACCTTTCAACTACGAAAACAAAGTCTCAGTTGGATTACAAATTTCCAAATATGTATCTAGAAGTAGGTATTCACAGAGCAGCTAGCAGCAGAAATCTTGAAAATATATACAAATGAAAAATTTGAAAGAAATATGACTGAATAATTATTTAACAGAGCTCTATCAAGGGATAATTAAATCTACATGTTACTTGTTAAATTGAAAACATTTGAAATAATACTGCCATCTTCTATTTCAACATGAAAAAGGCTGAAAGATAAACAAAGACAGAATCAGCTAAAATATACTCCTGTAAGACACTTATGATGGAAAGAATGATAACAGGTCAAATCAAATATCTGTCTTGGTAGGAGAATGCAGTATAAGAGTTTAGGGTTCATTCCAAAATGACACTGAAAATAAAAAATACAACTTTTTAATTATAAATTTAACTCATGTTAAATCACTAAATTAAACAAATAACCCACAAATATTATATAGGTGTTGTTTTATTTTTCTATAATAGAAAGGGATATAGAATGAGGCCTGTGATTTCACCATTAGAGGAAACTACTAGGTGAGGAAAATCCCAATACCAAAGTAGGCCAGAGCCATTTCTGCAACTTGGGAGTGTTAAAAAGATGCCTCAACAACTATGAACATCAGTGCCAAGTCCAGCATCACACAACCAGTATGTGTCAGAGGTGAGACTTTAACCCAGGTCTTCCTATTTTCACTATACCTTCCTCTTTTTCTATATATTATAGAATAATAAAGGATTTATTTTTGTAATCAAGTGACTTCAATAAAAAACACTGAAGTAAACACAAAGGTAATTTAACAATAATGTGTAAGTCCAGGAATATCTTTTTAAAAACTTATCGCACATGTATTCATATTGCCTTACATAGAAAGCTTTTGTAAAAACGTCAAGGAGGGAGGAAATAAACTAATGCATAGATCTGGAAAGGACCTCAGGGGGCATTTATTCCAAACTATCCAGGAAGAGGAGTTCCATCAATACCATCCTTGGGTGACACCATTAGTAAACTATTAAGTTTCGGCTAATGAAAAAAGCAGTGTGAAGAGAAGAAGAGAGGACACATATAATGTAAAGGTCTTTTGAAATGAGGTCAGGGGGTTAAACTACTCCTCACCACATGCTAGATAGAAGACAAAGTATTTCTCAAATCAAGGAGAAGGAAAATATGAATTCAGATTCCATTCTGGCAAGCTGAACCCTTTTATCTTCCAACACGAGAAGGTTGAGGCCACCTAGCTGTAGGTAGGAAAAATATGTGTGGCAGCCCAGGAATGAAAGGACAAGGACAAAAAGAGTATAGAGATGTGATGGAAATTATTGATAACAAAAGATAAGAACAAAAAGCAAAACAGACAAAGGAAAGGCTAGGTATGAATCCAACCCCCAAACAAACATTTTTAAATAAAACCCTAGCAAAAGATACTACAGCAATATAGCTAAAAATTATTCACTATGATCAAGCTGGGATACAAGGATGGTTGAACATTAGGAAAACAATGAACAATTAATCCCCCTTATCTTATTTTTAAAAAATATTAATGTGATCACACCTATCAGATTGTCTAACATGACAAAACAGGAAAATGATAAATGTTGGAGAAGATGTGGGAAAACTGGAACACTAATGCATTGTTGGAGTTGTAAACTGATCCAATCATTCTGGAGAGTGATTTGGAACTATGTCCAAAGGGCTATAAAACTGTGCATACCCTTTGACCCAGCAATACTACTTCTAGGTTTGTATCTCAAAGAGATCATAAAAATGGGATAAGGATCCACATGTACAAAAATACTTACAGCAGCTCTTTTTGTGGTGACAGAGAACTGGAAATTGAGGGAATGCCTATCAATTGGGGAATGGCCAAACAAGTTGTGGTACATGAGAGAATGAATGTGATGGAATACTATTGTTCCATAAGAAATGATGAGCAGGCAGACTTCAGAAAAACCGGGAAAGGCTTACATGAACTGATGCTGAGTGAAGTGAACAGAACCAGGAGAACATTGTACCCAGTAACAGTCACACTGTGTGATGATCATCTATGATAGACTTAGCTCTCCTCAGTACTACAACGATCTAAGGCAACTCCAAAAGATGCATGATGGAAAATGCTAACCACATCCAGAAAAAGAATTATGGAGTTTGAATGCAGATCAAAACGTACTACTTGCTTTTTGTTTTTATTGTTTCTTCTTTCCCGTGGTTCCTCCCATTGGTTCTAATTCTTCTTTACAACATGATTAATGTGAAAATATGCTTAATATGAATGTATATGCAGAGCTTATATCAGATTGCATGCCATCTTGGGGTGGGAGAAAGGGAGGGACGGGGAGAAAATCTGAGCTCAAAATCTTATGGAAGTGAATGTTGAAAACCAAAAGTAATTAATATTTGAAAAAATATTAATGTGTGTGTGCATGTGTATATGTATGGATGTATGCATGCATAGATGTATTTTTAAATCAGCAAAATGTGTGGCACCCCAGGAACAGAAGGACTAGGACAAAAAGAGTATAGAGATGTGATAGAACCTATTGATAATAAAAGAATAACGACAAAAAGCAAAAAGGACAAGGGAAATGCTAGGTATGAATCTACTCCCAGTTAAACCCAACCAACTCAAAGGGGAAAAAAAGCAAACATTCTAGAAAAGGTCATGATGACGACTAGCTACTATGCTTTAAAGGAAACAGAACAAGAAATACCCTAACGATAAAGAGTCTTCCAAGAGTACAAAATGAGACACACAGATTTAGAGCTGAAAAAAGGGCATGGGCAAAACAAAAATTTGTTTTGCTTGATCATACATGTCAGTAAGTGGAATTTTTGTTTTTCTTTCCTTCTTAGGGAAGGGGGAGGGAGAAAAGGTCACTTTTTCAAAAAGCATATATATATATATATATATATATATATATATATATATATATATATATATATATATATATATATATATATGAATATTTTTTAAAAACAAATGAAATAAGGAGAGTTAATTATCCATTGTTTCCTACCGTTCAACTATCCTTGGATCCCATGGACTAATTCAACTTTATCATAGTGAATTATTTTTAGCTATATTGCTGCAGTATCTTTCTAGGATTTCATTTAAAATTTCTGAATCAATATTCCTCGGATACTAATCTATAATTCTCTTTTTCTACTTTATCTTTACCTGCTTATGTATTAGGAGTACATCTGTCCCTTTAAAAAATTTGGTAGATTGTTTTCTGCCAAAAACAATAAAAACCTTTTTTTTTAAACCGTATAGATCTTTTGTTTTCAAATCGTCCAAATGTGTGGAAATGTTTTGATTAGTATTTTTCTTATTAATGACTTGTAGCATTCTTTCATATGGTGTTTAATAGTTTACAAGCATTTGTTCAAATTCTTTAACCACTTATATACTAGGCAATGTCTCTTGGCCTTATAATTTGCCTTAATTCCCTATATATGTTGGATATCAGACTCTTATCAAAGACATCCGATATAAAGTTTTTTATTCCCCAATCAACAGCTTCTCATTTTCCTAAAAGAATTAATTTTCTTTGTGCAAATTCTATTTAATTTCATGTAACTGAAAGCATATGTATGTTTTTCTCTTTTATAATTACTTTTATTTCTCATCTGATTAAGACTTCTCCCCTTAGATATAACTGTGAAATGTACCTGATCATTCTCTTCTAATTTTTCTATAATGGCATGACCTTTAACATTCATTCAGGTCAAGAACTCATTTAGGGTTTATTGTCGTATATAGTGGAAAAAAAATAAGAATTTTCTAGAATGCACAGTATATACTGCAGCTTATATACATATAAGAGTGGCACTTCTTGGGTACTGAACCCAGGGAGATCTAGGCTTAACTTCTGCCACTTGTGCATTCCAACTGCTTGACCATGGGCAAGTCACTTACTTAACCTCTCAGTGGCAAGCCAACTCTTTTAAGATAAAGTTACAGACAAGAAACTAATTTCTGTCAGTAAAGGTATTTCCCCCAAAATGGTGAACTCACAGACCAGGAACACACACACACACACACACACACACACACACACACACACACACACACACACACACACACACACATACACACACACACACAAAATCTTTGATCTCAGCAGAAATCTTGAGGCCTGATAAATTGTGAGTTACAGAAGTCTATTTGTCATGACACAAGTGAAATTAATTTAGTAACAGTATTTGCAACTAGCTAAAAAAAGAAAAAAAGATTACTACCTCTGTTTCCATGGAAATGCCACTTTAAATGACAATTTTTAAGGGATCAAATTTAGTATTGTCATAATATACTGTCAGTACGACACAATAGGAATGCTAAGCATCACACAAACAATTGCATGCAATATCAGCTCACAAATTGCCTAGAAACTGATAAGTATAGCAATTTTTCAAGATAGCCAATTCATAAAACTACAACAGAAAAATTACCTTTTTTAATCAAAGTTTGGCACTATTTATTACAATATTATGCTTTATTTAAAAACTGGCCTTTTACCTCTGAATTCACAGCTAAATACGAAGGAAATTTTGCTATGCACAGAATTAATAAAAAAGGATAAATGTGGTAATACCAATTAGTTCAAGAATTCCTATTAAAGTTTCCAGTTCTCTGCCTGACACCATAATTCTGTTAATTATGTATATATGTGTCATATTCCTACGAACATAACTAGGCTGATCCTCAGACTGACACACAATCAGTCTGCCAAGGCCAAGCTCAAAGCCTGTACAGTTTGGAAGAGACCCCAGAGGCTGGGCTCCCTTGCTATCATTGTCATGAAACAAGGGTCATTCTATAGAGAAGCCTTAATCCTATGTCAAATAAGATAGAGTGGTATTTTTAATGTATTGATGGTATAATTCAATACCTAGTACAACACAATGCCCTGAACATTAGATAGTTAAGAAATGCATTGACAAATATATCACCAAGCTAAGTTAGCAAAAGGATAAGAATAACTTTCCACAAAAAAAATTACTAATTATAAATAACCACTTAAAAATATGCCCCAAATCACTAATAACAAGAATTCAAACAACTCTGAGGTTTCATCTCATGCTGCAACTTTGCAAAAATTACAAAAAACTCCAAGAGTCAATGTTGGAGGAACTGTGTGAAACAGGCATACTAACAGGGAAGGGGGAAGAGGAAAGGGAATAAGCATTTATATAGTGCCTACTATGCGCCAGGAACTGTGCTAAGTGCTTTACAAATATTCTCTCATTTGACTCCAGCAACAGCTCTGCAAGGTAAATGCTCTTATCCCAATTTTAAAGTTAGGGAAACTGAGACACAGAAGTTAAGTGACTTGCCTAGGGTCACAGGGCTAGTTAAGTGCCTGGGGCCAGATATGACCTTGAGTCTTCCTGACCATGGGCCTGGCAATGCCTCTGTGGGGAGAGGAGGGGGGAGCTTATCTTTTTTTTATCTAATACACTTAGAGAATCTGTAAATTGTTCCAACTATTGTTAATATGAATTTGTAATTATTATTTGTATACTGGAATAAACTGTATACACTAATCTAGCAATCCAACTACAGGGCATATACCTCAAGAACAAAGACAGATATAAAGATCAACTATTTACCAAATTAACAATTTGTGGTAGCAAAGACCTGGAAATCAAAATGGCTTTAAACAAACCTTACATTGCATGAATGTAATAGAATATTATTGTACAGAAAATAAATGCACATTTTTAAAGGAAATTTCTTTATTGAAAGGATAAGTAGGCCTTGTAAAGACCTCATAGCCAAAAATTCTACAGGAAGTCAATCCAAGAGGGAGATAGGAAACTCAAAAATGAAATTCTGAAAATATAAAGGGAAACAATTCCAATGCCAAGGAAAAATGGGAGCCGTACGAGTAGACCTATGTGAATGCTCAGAACTCATGAACCAAGTTAGATTTTTTAAAAACATAAATAAAGAAGCAGGAACTGGTAAAAGCAAATAAATAAGAGTTTATAGGGTCCTGTAAAAATACTGTCAAACTAATCACAATTCCAGAGAATTGATGATGAAGTGAGGCTTAAAGTGCAGAATGAGATAAATTTTTTTTCCAACATAAGGATTTGTTTTGCTGACTACGTATAAATTGTTAGAAGTGCTTTGTTTTTCTATTTTTTTTCCCAGGTGAGAAAATGGTGTAACTGAAAAAAATTAATTTGAAAAAATTAAAATCATGTCGACATTATTAAACCTCAGAATAAGCTAAAGCTGAAGAGGGAAGCAAAGGAATGACAAAATGGAAGAAAAGTTCTGACAGAGAAAAAAGAGCATCAAAGAAGGGACAGGCTAGTGTGGATTGGATAGTAAAAACTGACCACAGAGAAAAGGCAAAGCTGCTCAATTTTTGTTTTAATTTTTTTTTAATCCATGGAGAATGACCCTGGTACTATGAAAAAAGGAAAGTGACACCCAAGATAAGAAATAGTAAAGGAATACTTTAGTTCCCCTTAACTCATTCAAGTCAACTGGCCCCCTAGAATGACACTCTTGGATCCTCAAAGAACTGGCAGATGGAGGTGGGCTTGCTAAGTCATTATCAGTGATATGTGAAAGACTGTGGTGAACACAGACAGGCCCCACAGGTCTAAAAACGGGCAAATGTTGGCCCAATTTTCAAAAACAAGTTAGAAAATAGTTTGGGGGTTTTTTTTTAATTTTTTTTTCCTTTTTAGGCAATTGGGGTTAAGTGACTTGCCCAGAGGCACACAGCTAGTAAGTGTCAAGTGTTTGGTCTGAGACCGGATTTGACCTCAAGTCCTCCTGACTTCAGGGCTGGTGCTCTATCCACTGCGCCACTTAGCTGCCCCTAGAGAACAGTTTGTAACCAAATGTCAGATAGTAACCTTGACTTTAATTCCTTAGAAGACTCTAGAATAAATCACCAAGGAAACGGCTAACAAATATCTAGAAAAAGCAGTGATTATAAAAATCCAGAATGATGAACAGCCAGTTCATCAAGAACAAGGCTTGCTAGGCTCACCCTATTTCTATGTTTTGACTGGTTTGCTAAACTGTAGATTAAGGCCACTGTTGTAGATACAGTTTACCTAGGGACTCGATAATAATATGATTACATGGACTTGAATGGTGAGGATCAAAAAAGTCATTAATGGTTCCATGTCAACTTAGCTGTAGATCTCCAATGGAGTGCCCCTGGGTCTACGTTGGACCTTATGCTACTCAACAGCAGGTCATTTAACCCTAAATGCCGCCCCCTTCCCCCAAAAAATTAAATAAAAAATATGGTTCTGTGAATACGGGGAATTCAAAGAAATATGTAAAGATCTGTATGAACTCATGGAGAGTGAAATAACGAGAACAAAAGGACAATATCCAGCAAGGGAACAACAATGTAAACAGTAAGGCTCCCAAAAGAAAAGCGGAATTCAAAATAAATGGGAAAAAAAAAATGTCCTCAGAGAAGAGACAATGACTATTAGGACAGAACGTTACATACCTTATAGGATGGAGTCGCTCTATCACATACTGTTTAAATGTTTTCATTATAAGGTAAGTTTCTATACAAAGGGGAGGAGACTTTTTTCCAGAAATAATTGTTTTAAAAACAAAGACATCAATAGAGTATATTTTTCAGAATATAAATAAATTCCACACCTATGATGTTAGGGATTTTAACTTTTAAAAAAGTAAAGTCTTAAGTTATAGAATGTATACTTCATAGTATACTAAGTCCCTAGCTATAGGAAATATGTGCCCATCTACATAAGATAAACAGGAAATAATTAACAGAGGGAAGGCAATGGAATTAAAAGGGTTTGGGGAAGAACTTCAGTAGAAGACAGGATTACAGTTAAGACTTAAAAGGAAGCCAGGGACATCAGTAATTGGAGCAGTGGAAGGAAAGTGTCCTAGGCATGGAGCACAGCCAGAGAAAATGCCCAAAACCAAGAGATGAAGTGTCTTGTTCGTAGAACAGACAGGAGACCAGTGTCACTGCACTGAAAAGCACAAGTTGAGGAGTAGAGCATGAGACTAGAAAGGTTGAGGGAATAAGTTTATGAAGGACTTTGAATGCAAAATAGAGCATTTTGTATTTGCTACTGGAGCTTATTAGGGGTGACATAATCAGATGCTTTAAGAAAATCACTTCAGTGGCTGAATGGAGGATGGACTGAAGTGGGGAGAGACTTGAGGTAGACAGATCTACCAGCAGGCCACTGCAACAATCCAGGCATTTGGTGACGAGGGCCTACACTCAAGTGGCAGCAGTGTTAGCCTGAACCAAACAATAAAACACACCAAAACCCCACCTCATAGCTATGAGGCCCAAATGACTTAATGTCCATAAATAAAGCCCTTATATACCTTAAAAAACACTATGTTTAAAAAACACTATGTAAGTGTCAATCACTAATAGGCTGAATTTTAACCCTACCTACTGCCAACTAACTGATTTCTAAGATTTGCTACTAAAAGTTTTAAAACACAGTTTAAAGGAAAAGAGTATTTGAAACTTCTATAACAAATATTTGACGAATACTGTACATCCCATGCAACTTCTAAAGGAAAATTAATAAACTGCACATCAAAATAAATATTATCACAAATGTCACATTTTATCATAAATTTATGGATAATGCCTATTTTAATATCTGACGGTCATTAAGTTTAGTAAACTCCTTGAGCCTAAAGAAATGAGCACCTCAGAAAGGACAAGGATATATTCAATTAGTCTCATCAATCCACAACTGAGTTTGGAGAGTCAAACTTTTGTTATATGTAATATTGACAGTTTATAAATGACTCACTTAATGAATGAGAACATGGACCACAACTGCAAGGTTAGGTATTATAATCAATTATAAGTATTACGAAAATTATAGCTAACAAATATTACCTTATTTGACTAAGTATGACTATAGATAGATGAGATTTTAACCTTATATACTGTCAATTAATTTCAAAGCTTTGCTACATAGGTTTTTAAAAGACACCTTAAAGGAAATGATTCGGAACTCCCACAGCGAATATCTTAATGTTAATATTTTATTTAGTATTTTATGCTCCAATTTGAAACATACAAGTACCATAAATCCTACAAAAACAGAGAGCTATTTAAAAAGAACTCATTTTTTCAACAAAGAATATGTTAGAACGGAAACACAGAGTCAGATATTTTTAGAAACACAGGTTCTTTCTTTTAAGAGGTCAAACTTTTAAGTAAATATTATTCCCACTATTACTTGCTCCAATATCAGAAGGCACCACAGCTTTCAAACAAAAATACTACAACAGAGATTTCTAATCTTATGCACTATTTTATTAATATTTCTTTAGCCACAAGTTTATAATTATCTGCTATTACCAGTCAACTACATAATTACTTTGATTCTTCTTCTAATAAAGACTACTTAATTTTAAGAAAGCAAGAGTATCATTTATAGTCAAGTTGGTTTCCATATGACCACTATAAATAGGCATGTTTATCTACCTTTCCTCTATCCAGTTCTTATCCAGTAGTGGCTGCTTAATCCATTGATTAAGCAGTCTTTGGCCTTGAGGGGTTTTGCACTTATTCAGCAGTGCAGCAAGAGACTGAGTACCACTTTTGTCTTCAGCAGAGCCCTAGTAACAGAAGGTAAGAGATGAAATGACAGGCTTATTAGCATGTCTCACTAAGCCAATGATAGTAATTAAAATTTGTATTTAAATGACGAATTTTTATATAACTCACAATATACAATCAAGCTTCTGCCCAATGGTACTTCTGTAATGACATATACTACTATTCCTGTAACCTTAAGCCGAAAACTTCAGAACCAAATTTAAGGATTGCATCCTGTGTAAATTTATTTATAAAACTATTCTATACTACTTAAGAGTAGAAAAATAAAATACAACAATTAAAATTTATTGCATTTATCTAACAATACTAATTGTACAATTACACATTAAACATATGATACTTCTAAATATTTAAGAATACCAGAACCCTTTAACATAACATGAAACTGTCACTGAAGTCCTATCCCAATATCTTATTGTGTTGTGGAAATGACTCCAGGTTTTATTTTTTAATATGTTTTGATTGCTTCTGACAAAGAATTCCCTCCCATCTACCCACTGACTGTGTCCTTGAAGGTTATTTATTCTTCTAGACCAAGATCTATGACAGGCTTCTAATGATGTTAAAGGATTCAAGTGGGTACCCAGGGATGGACCAGCCTACCTAAGAGCTGAGAAGCTCATCACAAATAGGCCCCTTAGATGGGGCTTTTTGACCACAACATCTCCTCCAGGCCATAAATCATAAAAGAGGTTTTCATAATCTGTACCCACATTGATTAAAATTACCGACTCTCAAAGTCCCTTTCCATCCCAAGCTTCCATGTTTGGTATTTTTTTTTTTACCTGAAAAAGGTTAAGAGCTCCGACAGCTGCATTATCCAGCTTCATATACTGGTTGAGGTCAAAGGTAGTCAGTTCAAATTGTCCAAAGTTTGTATCATCTGATAAAAGTTCTAAATACTTAATCACAGCTGATAATGATGAAATTGCGACCTAAGATAAAAGAATTTCTCCTTGTGTTACTGAGATCCTATATTTGAAAAGTAAAAGTCATTAAAAAATGTTTTAACGTAAATGACTGAACAAAGACAAATTACAAGCAGCATTATTTTCCCTGGTTCAGGAAAAACAGGCACACTAAGGGCCTAATGGAACTATGTATCCAATTGTTCTGAAACGCAGTTTGGAAGGATGCAAATAAAATGACTAAAATGACAATACCTTTTGACCCAGAGATTTCACTACTAGACATATACTTCAAAGAACTTAAAGACAAAATTAAAGTCCAATATGCATGCAAAATATTGGTAGCATTACTTTTTGTAGCAGCAAAGAAGCAGAAACAAAGTAATGTCTTTGAAATGAGGAACAGCTAAACAAATTACATGCTTTTTTTGTGGTGGCAAAGAATTGGAAAGTTGAGGGTATGCCCATCAATTGAGGACTGGCTGAACAAGCTGTGGTATATGAATGTAATAGACTACTACTGTGCTATAAGAAATGATGAGCAGGAAGATTTCAGAAAAACCTGGAAAGACTTGTATGGTCTGATGCTGAGTGAAGTGAGCAGAACCAGAACACTGTACACAGTAACAGCCATATCGTGTGCTAACTTTTTTAGCTCTTCTCAGCAATTCAAGGATCTAAGACAACTCCAAAAGACTCTTGAGACAAAATGCTATCCACATCCAGAGAAAGAACTATGGAGTCTGAATGCAGATCAAAGCATACTATTTGCTCTTTTTTTGGTTTTGTTTCTTTTTTCTCTTGGTTCCTCCCATTGGTTCTAATTCTTCTTTACAACATGACTAATGTGAAAATATGTTTAATAAGAATGCATATGTAGAACTTATATCAGATTGCATGCCATTTTGGGAAGGGAAAAGGGGAGGGAGGCAGAGAAAATTTAAAACTCAAAAGCTTATGAAAGTGAATACTGAAAACTAAAAATAAAGCAATGTAAAAATGAAAAAAAAGTTGTTTTCTGCTCTCATAAAACCAAAACAAAAGGTAAACCAATAAAATTAATTCACAGCAGGAAATCTCACTTGAAAAAAGGATCACATATGGAATGTTGTACACACTGTAAGATATGGTCACTGTGTTACTGTGCTGGCTGATTTTGCTTAACTAATTCTTTGTTACAGTAAAGACGCACTGGAGGTGAGAAGTAGAGGAAGCAGGGATGGGGTCTATCTGCAAATGACCATGCTATGACAAAAGGGATCAATAAAATATTTTCAAAATGGACCAGACTCTAAACATGCTGCAAATAGAAGAAATGTTATTTTCACTTTAAGAACAAGCTCATCTATATGTATGTGGCTTAAAATTTTTCAGTGGCTGTAACACAGTGTAAGCCTCATTTAAATGGAAGTACAACTGGTATTTATACACTAATTTTGTAGTGATACATAAATATCTACTTTTCTCTCTATTCAAACACAGACCCCTAAGACTCCCTAATTCAGTTCCTTTCTCTTATTTTATTGGCCAAAATCAGGGAATAAACCAATACTAAAGATAAACACACAGTCTAAAACTTTAAAAACTCAATATTGTTACTAAACTTATACAACCTACAAAGAATTCTTTCAAGCAAAAAGAAAAAGGATTTAAGAACTATATAGTGGAACTATAATGAAATTCACTAGTAAAAAGACAAATTATTTATGTAGGTCCTTCCTTTAGGGAAGTACCTTGAATTTTTCATTTCAACATTGAGATGAACTGAAGGTCAAAGGAATGACAGCAAATGTTATTTGCAACTGATGCAAGGTTAATGTGTTAGAAACTTCCACTAGGAAAACGACATTTTTATGACTAAAAATAAATAAATCAACACATTTAATTTACATACCTGGTTCTCCATCTCGGGCAATACAGCACTATTCACTTGGTCTCCCTTTCTGCTTTTCAACAAACGGTTGAGGTCCTGAACAATATCTTTTGCTGCAAAGTCAGCTTTCTTTCTCTCTGTGATCAGAATTCCTCCTCTCTCAATAACCTGTTTTTAAAAATACACATTTGTTCTCTCCCAATAATTTTACTGGAAAACAGAATTTGTGAACCTTTTAAAAACCAACTGATTATTCAGTTTAAGCTTATGAAGTATCAGTTAAATTATCTCGGTTATAATTGCTTTAATATAGTTAATGTGCTTGTTTTCCTTTCCTCAGTGCTGTGCTAAGTGGCAATAACTATATCAAAAAACAACCCAAAATGATTTCTCTCTCTCTCTCTCTCTCTCTCTCTTTTTGAAAGAAATCAGCACTAAAACTATCTTTTTTTTTTTAGAATATTTCAAAAATGTTTTTTTGTAAAATATCATCAAAGCAATTAAATGGCCCTTTCTAGTTCTGGGTTTTTTTTACATGGTGTTCTTTTCTAAGATTTTAAGATTTTTTTTTGGTTATACTTTATTAGTATTAAGTCATTTAGGAATTCTGATCAACACAATCAACACAACACAACCAACCACAATTCCAAAGGATCATGATGAAACACACTACCTACCTTCTATAGAAAGGTAATGTATTCAGAGTGCAGATCAAAGCATATTTCCTTTTCCTTCCTTTCTTTCTATTTGGATATTTTTAATGTGGAAATGTATTTTGTATGGCTATATATATTTGTAAAGACCTTTGGGTTTGGGGGGTGGGGGCTGGCCTTCTCAATGGGGGGGGAAGGGAAAAGAGAGAGAATTTAGAACTGAATATAAAAATTTTAAAAAATTAGCATGAAATCTTCCCCTTTCGTACCTGTCTCAGTTTTCCCATGTCCCCAGCAGTTTCACCTCCTGGTAGCACACATTCCTTTGGGCCAATCTGAATCAGCAGAGCTTGGAGATTGGAGAACTGGTCATTATCTGGAAACTCACACAGTCCTAGCTTCCTCTGTATGGAGTCAACATACCCAACCCCAACTAATCTTTGGCCATCAACAACAGACAACTTAACACCTACACCACCAATGGAACATGACATATCACTACTGCCAAAGAGAACTTCTTCAAATTGGGAAAGATTGCCTGGTGAAGCCTAAAAAACAAACAAAAAATAAAGGAAAATCACTAGAAACCACTTAAAACCTTCCTTTTAGATCCTATAAGCATAAACAAGAAAAAACTTCTAATTTTAGTTACATGTACCGAAAATCTATTGCAGGAGCAAAGCAACCACACAATAAATGTAGACTGAGAGAAAATATCTTTCCCTCAAATAATTCTAAGAATAATGCATATCTAAGATATGTAAAATATTTAAGAAAAGCCACTTCAAAATGGATACAGTGTCCAAGGACAAAAAAATTCTCACAAGAACTGTAAACTATAAACAACTACATGAAAGACTGCTCCAATTCACTAAGAAAAGAAACGCAACACACACACACACACACACACACACACACACACACACACACACAACAACTCTAAAGTTCCACCTAGAACTTAGAAAACTGGCAAAGATGACAAAGCTACGGATTTGTCCAACTCATTCTAGAAAACAATTTAGAATTAAGTAATGTGACCAGGACCATGCCCTTTCACACAGGTTGAAGAAACACATACAACCAAGTACATCAAAAATGAAAAGAAAGATTCTAGATATATCAAAACTGCACTTTTTATAGTAGTAAAGAACTGAAAAGAAAGGAAATGTAAATAGACTGAGGAACGACTAAACAAGTTGTGAGACCCACACGGAATGGAATATTACTGTACAAACACTTGCATGAACTGATTCAAAATGGAAAAAAAAAGGACAAGGAAAATAATATATCCAGTGACAACAACATAAATGGAAAGAATAAAATAATCACAACCGTATGGTATGAAATTATCTTGGCCAAGATTAATCCCAAAGAAAAGATACGAGAATGCAGAAGTAGGGAAATATGGATGTAGAGCATTACATATGATAGCAGACTTGGTCGATATCACCAGTTAATTTTTTACTAAACTGTTTTGTTCTTGTTATAATTTGCCATAAAGGATGGTTGTCTGGGAGAGGAAGGAAGAAAGGGCATATTAGGAAATTCAAGTGATATAAAAACAAAAGATATGAATAAATATTTTTCAAATCATATGAACAAAAGCCACAAATTTTACCTAGGGCCAACTCTGACAACTTTACTAATGAAAATGTCTGATGTACTCAAAGTATTAATCATACATTATTCTGAGACAGGTATAGGTTTGCTTTAATGATACTAGATGGTGGCAAAGTTTTGCAGGAGAGTATTCTACTCTCTTCATGATGGGTTTCCTTGTTTTTCTGCTGAACTGATTAAAGTCCTAGTGGCAAGCCGTATCAGAGAAAATATTCACAAATGGTACTTGAATAACTTCATTAAATACCTGTTGTTTGCAAAGCAACGAGATAGCTATCTTAGAATAAATTTAAACAAAGATTGAGGAAAAGAGAATATTGGAAATTGTCATTTGAGGCACCTAAGAAACATCGAAGTTTAAATTATTAAAATATCAGAGGAAGAAAATCAGAATTTTAGAACTAGGAGGGCTTTAGAAACCAAGTCCAATACTTTTACTTTAGAGAGGAGGAAACTGCATCAGAGGCATGTTAAGTGACTTGCCCAATGTCACATAGGTGGTTAATGATAAAGACTAGAACCACAATGAGAGAGACCCCCTTTCTCTAATTGTTTCATGTGGATAAGTGTTCTCTTCCAGACAAGATCCTTTAAAATACAGTAACGATTCCAACTTCTCCCAATAAAACTTGCAGATTAACAATGAACGGGATCTTTGCAGCAATTTATAACTTGTAATTTAACAGAAGAAAGTCGGCAAGTGGAGATGTGTCCTCCTGCATGCATACACACACACACACACACACACACACACACACACACACACACACACACACACACACACACACACACAGAGTTTCCTTTCCGCATTGAGGGAGGGAATTTCCTCACCTGGGCGTTTCCTGAATGATGAAATCACAGCACTGAGGTATTTTGCCTCCCAAAAAAATAACTGCATTTCTTGTTTTATTTACATCAACAATTTTAGTGGAATCCCTTTATAATGCTAGTGTTAGGAGACTGAATAAAAAATTATAACAGAGAAAAAAGAGCAATAACTTACAGTAAGAAAACCTAGGTTCAAATCCAAGGCCTAATATGTTAGATGAAAGGGAATGTGACGTGATAGAAAGCCAGAATGTGACATGAAGCCAGTCAATCAGAAAGACCTGGGTTCAAGTTCCCCTTATGACACTGCTTCTGTAACCATGGGCAAGGCATTTAACTTTTCAAGTCATTTAACATCTCTAAGTCTCAGTTTCCCCCAAAATAAAAAGGAGATAAAACATTTAATTTCAAAAATTGTTTTAGAGAACAAGTTTTATAAACAGGACTCTCTACTAAAGGGAATTGTTACTGTCAGTAATTCAGGCATGTTCTATAGTTTTCATTATATAGTTATGCTTTAAGGGATGTTATACAATACATAAAATATCCAAATTTTGTGCTTTAAAATGTGCTTTAAAAACAACTCTGAGCTAAGAGTTTAATGTTAGTCTACTTACTACGCAACTAGAAAAACCCATATGACCCTGTACATCACAAACACACTTTCTTTTTTTAACTGTGCTAGGCAACTGTGTGGCAGACGTCAGTGGGAATCAAGACCATTCCTGCTTTATCATCCAGGTCGCTCGAAGCTGAACTCTCTTACTTTACCTCCTCTTCCCAATAAGTGACCACAGTAACTGTTAAGCTCTTACAAAATGACCCTAAGGACAAAGAGTTCCAATATTCCAAGAAAAATGGTGAGTATTTTAAGACCTAAGTGAAGAATAAACAAATAGGTCACATAATAAAATTCATTATTATTGTTGTTCAGCTGATCCAGTCATGTCCAACTCTTTGTGACTCCATGGACCATACTGTCCATGGAATTTTCTTGGCGAAGATATGGGAGTGGTCTGCCATGTCCTTCTCCAACATAATAAAATAAGTTGCATTAAATCTAACATTTCCAGTCTAACAGTAAGAGTACAGATTGTCATACATGCCAATTTAGACATAAGACAACTTTACAAATTCCTGACTTAGGAATGACCCTTATTTAGGAATGGCTTACACATTTGGGATTCATCTTCCCACGGACATAGATGCGGGAACTCTTCTATTCCCCAAGGGTCTGTCTTTTCCCAACCAATACTTTTGCTAGAAAATTCTTTCCCTCATCCCTCTCCTTTCCACCACTGCCAGGGACTTCTACTGCTGTGGCCTGGCACTGTCCACAGAAAACTGGACCACTGTTGCCACAGAAGGTATGAACTGCCAATAATGGTAGAGCACTATAATTGTGAGATTTTTCTTTCTACTTTTCTTTTCAAGAAAAAAAAATTACCTTGAATGCCACATGCCAATCATTCTCCTTGGTGGCCTTATTCCCAGCTTTATTCTTATAAACTTCAACTCTATACTGACGAACCAAGAGGAGGTCTTTCGCAAAAGATTCAAAATTCATTTTACTAAGCACAACACTTTCCAATTTTTTTGTACCTAAGGAGAGAAATAGCATACTTTAAGTTAATCTGGGATTGCATACTGACAAAAACCAAAAAGTTCAAGTCCTCACAAATCAGAATAATAAAGACTCAAAACTTCAGGTTACATTACTTTGAAAACAAATATCATCAGAGACAAAGCATTCAGCATAATTTGTAAAAACTCTTAGCAATGCTTATATTCTGTAAATTGCTAATCCTACTCTTACGTCACACATAACACTCTTCCTACTTAACAGTCCAGGGATCCATCATTTCAACTCCTCTGGCACATATAACACCTCTGTGCTTCCAAGCTAAACTGGCCATAAAAAATTCACTGCATCACAAATTTTCTGGGAATGAGCTTCTTGCTAATCTTTGATAGTGGGCTGTGTGCAGGACCCACAATGGAACCAGCAATTAGACCATAATAGGAGGATTTGCCAGGTCTTGCAATCTGTGGGCATAGCGTTGGAGAATCCAGAGTCACTTCTTTGCTACAGTCAGTCAGCCCATAAGCATTTATTAAGTACTTACTATGTGCCAGACATTGTGCTAAATGCCCAGCTACACAAAGAAAGGTAGTTCCTTTTTTCAAGGAGCTCACAATCTAATGGGGAGACAGCATGCCAACTTCAATAGACAAACAAGCCATGGACAGGATAAACTGGAGATAACAGGAATTGGGAAAGGCTCCTTGCAGAAAGTAGAATTCTAGATGGGACCCAAAGGAAGCCAGGGAGTAGAAATGATGAGGGAGAACATTGTGGGCACGGCGACAAACTGCAAAAATTCCTGGGGTCAAGAGTAGATCTTAAAATCAATCCACCTCCCTTCATAAGTAGGCCTCTCATGAAATAGCCCAATAGTTCAAGGATAGTAATAACTTCAAAAATCATTCTTCTTGCCTTCTTAGAAAACACTGGTAAATTCTATTAGTCTCTGAAACACTTGAAATAATAAACTTCCTATAAGAGAAATAGCTCATAAGAAAATCTGTGGTATACATATGTATTTGAGCCAGGAGCTAGGGACAAAAAAAATGTGAAAGTGCTGCCCATACCCTTAAATCTCATATAAGAGTCATTGAATACTTCTTAGGCTACAACCTCTCACAATGCACATATGATGAAGCTTGAAACAGGAAAGCATAATAACAGAGACTCTCAGGAGAGATCAGAAATTTTCAGAGACAGAAAGGTCATTAATAATGTAATTCAACACCCTTATTTTATAAATGAACAAACTGGGGCCCAGAAAGGTTACATGGATTACCGCTATCGCAAGGCTAACTAGTGACCTTATAATTTAACTGAGGACTGACTAAACAAAATGTGGTTCATCAATATGATTCAACATTGTACCACAATAATTAAAATGAAGAATTCAAGAAATCAGGGGAAAACATCATTGATACAAAGTGATAAGTAACAGGAAAACAATATGTAAAACAAAAATAACCAAAAAAATGAAAACCAACCTTCTATAAACTATAATGACTAAAAATGGCTCCAGAGAAGACCTGAAAAAATACAACTCCCTCCTCACTTTGCAGAGGTAGAGAACTGTGGGCATGAAACACTGCATGTACAGTCAAACATGGCTAATGAGTTGGTTGCTTTTCCTGAACTACTTCTCTGACCATCACTTTTTTTTAAAAGGTATAGCTTGATGGGAAAGTAAAGAAGGAATATACTCAGAAATAAATTTGTTGTAACTTTAATAAAAAGCATCAATAAAACTTTTTAAAAATTAAAAAAATTCATTTGGGACAAGATATTCATGAAATTAAGGCAAGATGGCACAGTGAAAGAACTGCACACAGCTGTCTTTTTGGGAGGCTAGGGAGCGAGAGGGAGGTATTTTATCTTCAAGGTACTAGTAAGGGTTCAAGGGAGCTGCTAGGTGACATAGTGGATACTGTGCCAGGCCTAGAGTCTGGATGACTCATCTTCCTGAGCTGAGGCCTAGAGTTTGGATGACTCATCTCCCTGAGTTCAAATCTGGCTTCAGAAACTTACCAGATAGATGTGTGACCCTGGGCAAGTCACTTTACCCTGTTTGCCTCAGTTTCCTCATCTTTAAAATGAGCTGAAGAAGGAAATGGCAAACCACTCCAGTATCGCAAGAAAACCCCAAATGGGGTCATGAAGACTCAAAACATGACTGAAACAACTGAACAACAACAAAATGTTCATGACTGAAAAATAGTGAGTCTTACCCAGATTTTAAATAAATTAAAAAGCAGGACAAAACCTAACAACACTAAATAAGATAACACTCTTTACAGACCAGCATTCATTTGAATTAAATTGAAATAGTATTTATTAAGCACCTACTACGTGCAATGGCGGCTACTTGGCCCAGCAGAGAGAGCTGGGCACGGAGTCAGGAAGACTCATTTTCCTGAGTTTAAATCTGGCCTCTGGGGTCACAAAAAGTAGGACACAAACTGAAAACAACTAAACTGAACTAAGCAACACTGTATGCAAGGCCCTGGCCCTGCGCTAGGTACCAGGAAAACAAAGACAAAAGATAAAGAAATTTCCTGACCTCAGAAAGCTACCATTCTCCTGGGTCACTCACTAGCCACCCAAGTAATCTGGGTAAAAGTATGACACAGGGTATTCCAAAAGTCTTAATGCAGTTTTAAGCTTCAGTACTTACAATACAGTTTACCTGAATTTCAACAGAGGCAGAGTCCTCATTCCCTGACTCAATTCACACGACCACCACTCTAGGTCAAGATGCCAGGTTCTCACTTCTGGGTGACTGCCAGAGACTCCTAATTGGTCTCTTTACCTCAAGTATTTCTCCATTCCAATTCATTCTCCACACAGCTGACAAAGTCATCTTCCTTAAGTCTGTCTGACAATAGCAATCCCCTGCTCCAACTCCAGAGGATCCCCTATAAGCTCTCAGATAAAACTGGGCATTTAAAGCCCTTCACAACCTGGCCCCGATCAAGTTTTCCAACCATCTTCCTCACTCCACCCTTTCATGGGTTTTTCCACGTATAGTAGATTTCGTTTTCATAATGTAATAAACTTTTAATTTAAATAAAAAGGGGGGAAGCCCAGGACCCCTTCTCATTCAATTTCTGGTCATCAATTAATCATGTTTATAATGCCTATATTACCCCACTTAAATATTTCATAGGCAAGCTACTGCTTCTTTTCAGCCAACACTGAACTAATTTAAGCATTTCCCCATTAACATGTTGAAAGAACTACACTTCAGTCTCCTCTTAATTTGACACATTTGAAGTCATAATCATCTTTAAACCACAAATTCTCAACAGGCCTAATTTACCCAAACATCCCACTCACTCCATTCTTATGATACTTCTAGTCACCAAATAACAGTGTACCACTGATACAATAGTTTGGAATAGCAGTTAAAGAGAAAGCCTCAAAATCAAGAAGATCAAGCTTAAATCTAGGAAAGTGGTTTAACCTCTCAGTGCCTCCCAGCAACCCTAGAAACGTCAGGTTTCAAGCTACTGCCCTCCAGCAGCAATAGAGTAAATTTCCCTACCTGCAATTCCTACAACAATGAAATCCCAGGTCCAGACCAAAATAACAATAATAAAGTACAATAATGATAGCAACCCAACAAACATTTATTTAGGGTGTGGATTCAGGTGATTCCTCTTCAAGAGGGTTTGACTGACTGAAAGAAGTAAAGGGAAAATCCTGACAAAGTCCCCTAAGAAAACTTGAGGAGGAAAAGAATAGCTATGGGGATTTTGAGATTATGATTCAGAGCTAAACTGCAGGGTTTAGACTTAAGGGCGGGCAGTTAGAAACTGGAGAAAAGCCAGCTATTGTTGTAGCTATTTAGGTAAGCTTAATGAGCTTACCCTAGTCTACAAAGAAACTCCCAGATATACAGCAAAATAAGAGGTATTTGGACAACAGCAACAGGCTATTCTTACGTAAAAATCTATTACTCACTCCTAAAGAAGTACTTAACAATACATACCAATCTTCCCCAGTCCTAATATTTAGATGTAATGCTTAGAGAATAGGGTATTGCACCAGTAACCAGAAAGACCTAAATTCAAATTTAGCCTCAGACTTTTGCTAGCTTTGTGACTCTGGGCCAGTCACTTAACCTCCGCCTGTCTCAGTTTCCTCCTCTACAAAATGAGGACAATAATTATAGCACTTATTTCCCCAGGGTGTTGTATGGTTAAAATGTTTATTGAATTGATGTCATTACTGTACTTTATTATCGTTATTTTGGTCTGAACCTGGGATTTCATTGTTGTAGAAATTCCACGGAGGGCAATTTATTGATGCATGAGGGCAGTAGCTTGAAACTTAATGTTTAATATTTGCAAAAAACTTTGCAAACCTTAACGATTTATATGTTTAGTGTAATAATTTTTATAGCAAGATGATTTATACGTAGGAACTGGATGGATTGCTAAAAACTTTTTTAAAAATAAAGATTCTTCAGACTTTCAGCTGACCACTTTAAAGAATCAGGAGGAAAAATTAAATGATAGAAATCATCAGTGTGATCAGAAAAGGGAGGTGAATTTGAGATGAAGACTTTGGGAAGATAACTGGTACTTGGGGAGGGGGGAAGTAACCTTTGGACAACTGCGGCAGTTTTAGTACTGGAAAAGACCTTAGGGATTTCATCTAACCCGCTCGTTTTACTGCTAAGAAAACTGAGGTGCAGTGAGGGTAAGTAATTTATGCCGTCATAATAAGAAGCAAAGCAGTAAGAACCTCATTGAAGTCCAGAGCTCCTTCCTTCCACTCTATTTTCCAAACCCCAAATCAAGGTACAAAGTCTGATAAAAGATGTTTCTTTGGAAACTTTTTCCTATCTGTAAAATGAGAGGATTAGATGAAACGATCATTACGGCCTCTTTTGAGTTCTAAAATTCTATGACTTAAAAAAAAAAAACCCGCAGACGATGAAATCTTCATCCCACCCTCCTCTCACGGCTCCCAATTTTGCAGTTTTAAGCCGGAGGGGGTGGGGTGACAACGAGAGCCAGCACCGGGGAATAGACTGCAAGCTCCCTGAGGTCACCGAGTCGCTTTCGGCCGTTTTTGTATAGCCAGCGCTTAGTCGGGTGCCCGGCACACAGCAGGTGCTTAATAAGTGTTTAATGAATTGGGAAAAATATTGAATTGAATAGAGGGAGAGGATCTGGGCTCGAGACCTAGCTCCACCTCGTCTGCGGGAGTTCTTTCTCTGCACTTTTCGGAAAATAGGATGGGAGGGGGCGGAATACTCGACAATCACGCACACCCCACCCCACCCCACCCCCCAGCGGCAGTGTGAGGAGTGTGAGCTGGGATGCAAAACTCTCAATGGTGAGTCTTAAAAGGGGCGTGTTCCCACCTCTAAAAAGGGGGAGGGGGAGAAGCGCTAGGTGGCGAGCGGAGAAGGAAGCTGAGGCCCGGCCGGCGTTTTCTCCAACAGTCCCAGGACACCCGCCCCCCCAGGCTAGGGAAGGAGGCCCCGGCCTCCCGCCAGGCCGCCCTTACCGGTTACCCCGATATACTTGATGACCGCCTGGGTCTTGAACACCTCCCGGGCGGCCAACAGCGCGTCATCGCCGTGCGCGGTGTAGTAATCGCCCCGGTCGAAGATGCGTACGGTGGTGAGCGGCTTCGGCGGCATGGCCTGGAAGAAGCGGATGAAACTGCACTCGGCCTGGCTGTCCATGGCCAGCACCTCCTTCGGTTGCAGCGCCATGTTGGAATCTCCCGCCAGCGGCCGCCGGCGACCCCGCCTGACCCCGCGCCGGCCCGCCTCTTTCCCGCCTTCGTTGCTGCTTCAGCAGAGAGGTCCAATCATCATCCAGCTCTGCCCTCCGAGGGGCGGGGAGGACGCGGTTGAGGCGACCAATCACAATCCGGACGGAAGCTGCGACTCGGTGATGCACCGCCCCCCCAAGGTTCCGCCTCTTAGGTAGTGACGCGAAGCTGGGGACCGAGTCCCTGGAGAGCTTCTGCGCCCCTCCCCCTCCTCTTCCCTTTCCTCGGGACCGGAAGTGGGCAGGGTTGCAGAGGTTCTAGGCTTCCAACGGAAAACTGGAGCTGCCTGGTTATTGTGCAGCTGGACCGCCTTCCAGCCGGTCACGTCATTTGGCAGCCAAGAAAATGAATCATGTTATTGACACCGCATGGGGCCTTCGAAATCAGTAAGCCCTGAGTTCAAATGCTGCCCACACACTCAGTTTCCCCCCGCTGTGCAATAGGGACAATAACGGCAGGTACCGGCCTTCTTTCGATAATCCCCAGTTTATCCTGTACATATCCTGTTTGTTCGGTTGTTTGCAGTTTGTCTTTGTTACTGTGAGCACTTTGAGGATGAAGGCTGATTTTTGCCTTTTTTGGTATCCCAAGTGTTTAGTCATTTTTCAGTCGTGTCCAACTCTCCATGGCCCCATTTGGAGTTTTCTTGGCGAAGATGTCATCCAACTCATTTCACAAATGAGGAAACTGAGGCAAACGGGGTTAAGTGACTTGCCCGAGGTCACACAGCTAGTAAGTATCTGAGGCCAGATTGAACTCAGGAAAATGACTCACTTCACCTCCTCCCTGCCCACCCTCACAGATTACAAATTAAAACATCTCAGTGCCATCCCATCCCTTGACCTTTTCAAAATTCCCTAATTCAACATGCTGAGGACTAACACCTTTCCTACCCAGGATATGGCACTTGCTGGTATTCATAGTGTCCAATTGACATCCAAAACAATTCGTCCACTTACCTAGGCAACTAGATGTACAGGAGCTGGGAAGACAGGAATTCATATCCTGCCTGAGATACTTACTAGCTGTATGACCATGAGCAAGTCACTTAACCTCAGTTTCCTCATCTGTAAAATGGAGGTAATAGTTGCACCTACCCCCCAGTGTTGTGAGGATAAAAGTGAGATACTATTTAGTAATTTTGCACAGCATCTGACACATAGTAGGCACTTAATAGAGGCTTGTCTTCTTTCAGAACATGCCATGTTTTCTTTTTAATTGTCCACTGTGAAAGAGAAATTGCTAGCTCGTTCTTACAGCTTCCCAAAGATGTTTGTGCTTTCTCCCTCCTCAGATTCTCCTGGAGCTCCCTTCTTTGCCCCAATTTTTGCCGCCCCCCCCCCATTACATTATCTATGTGCATGTTGTATTCCTTCAGCGGGAATGTAAGCTCCTCAAGGGCAGAGAGGAACCTTTCAGCTGGCACAGTACCTTTGTACATAGTAGGTGCTTCATATTTGTTGCCCCTCATCATTTGTTGGTTTTCATCATCTTCATTCTTCAGAAAAACTGGATCACCCCCACTGGCACTGGCAGCTTGGGGCACCTCAATAAAACATTGAAAGAGGTAGTAATAAAAAGAAAAAGAATATGTTTTTTGTTCATTTTTTTAAATATTGTCTAAGTAGAGAGGGTAGATAGCTAGGAGGCACACTAGATAGCTGGTTTTGGAGTCAGGAAGACCTGAGTTCAAATCCAGCCTCAGACACTTATTAGCTGTGTAACCCTGGGCAAGTCGCTTAATCTTCATTTGCCTCAATGCATTGGATGAGGCAATGGCAAACCATTCCAGGCTCTTTGCCAAGAAAACCTCATGGGTGGTATTGGTGTGCTGTGGTCCACAGGGTCACAAGGAGTCAGACACAACTGAACAACAAATAGAGGAGACAATAATAACTTGGGTTTCTTATATTCCACTCAGAAAGTAAAGGTGATTATTGACTGTTAGAGGGAAGAAACAATACTATGAGATTGGGAGTTTGCTCTGATAGTTAAAGAAGTTAGCAGGGGAGACAGTTCTTTAAGCAAATGGCCTGCTGTCTGGTTACTTCATTCTTTGGAGGAAGATTCTTGCATTCATCACCAAATCACTGAGTCAAGGTTGGAGGGAGCTCAGATGCTATCTGGTCTCAACCTGTACCCAAAAAAGAACTGCCCCTGTAACTTACCGGATGGGTGAGTGATCATCCAACTTTTTGCTTAAAGACCTTCATTGAGGGGGGAACCCACTGTACCCTATAGCAAGCCACTCTGCTTTGTGACCATGTTAATGTTATCAAAGTTTTCATAATATCCAGACTAAAATTTTTCCTTTTTCCAAAGCAAGTGAACAAGTATTAATAAGTGTGTACTATGTGCCAGGCATTTTGCTAAGTTCTGAGTATATACAAAGAAGGGGCAGCTAGGTAGTAAAGTAGATAAAGGGCTGGGAATCAAGAAGGCTCATCTTCCTGAGTTAAAATCTAGCCCCGGACACTCACTAGCCGTGTGATGCTGGGCAAGTCCCTTAACCTTGTTTGCCTCAGTTGCTCATCAGAAAAACGAGCTAGAGAAGGAAATGGCAAACCACTCCAATATCTCTGCCAAGAAAACCCCAAAACAGGGTCAGGAAAAGTCAGACAAGGCTGAAACAACTGAACAATGACATAAAAAGAAAAAAAAATCCCTGCCCTCAAGGAGATCACAGTGTAATTTAGGGAGAGACAATAAACTATTCCAACAACTATGTGCAAGCAATATATTTACAGTGTAAATGGCACATCAGAAGGAAAGCACTAGCAGTAAGGAGGACTTCCACCTATCATCCCTAATTCAATTCAATTCCACTAACATTTACTTAACAACAGTGTTTATTGTTAAGCTCCAACTATGTGCACAGCACAGTGTTAAGTGATGGGGATACAGACCAAATAGAAATTGTCCTCGCCTTTGAGTAGTTTCAGTTCTACTGAGAGAATGTAACAAGTGACAAACATACCCACGCCAAGATTAAATTCTACTGGGGAAGTACATGGATGTTAATAAGTAAATAAATGCAAAATAATTTCAGGAAAGAGAAAGCGCTAACAACTGGGTGTGTCAGGAGAAAAAAAAAACCCAGCAACCTTATATAGGAGGTAGCTAGCTCCTGAATTGGAAAGTAGAGATTCTAAAAAGCAGAGGTAAATTGGCAATACATTCCAGGCATGCAGGAGCATCTGTTCAAAGACACAGAAGTGAGAGATGTACTCTCTTGTTCAAAGAACAGTTAGTTGGAATTGCCTGGAATGTGGAGTTTGTGAAGGTGAATATTATGGAATAAGACTAGAAATGTAGATGGGGGCCCAGTTAGGGGCAGGGGGTGGGGACTTGGTTGCTAACATGAGGATTTTGTAGGTATGTTCAGATCTTTATTTTAGGAATATTGATTTGACAGCTGTGTCAAAAATGTACCACATCAAATCACATTTGGGCTATCAAACGGGGGGGGTTATAGTGAAGTTTAAGAGGGGTCATTAGTGTGATGGGAGTTGGGTGTTTATCTAGGAAAACTGGAGGTTTTAAAGATGAGAGGTTCTGAGTATACTGTAGGCAGCCAACAAAGAGGAGAAACTTAGTTTACACACATTGTCCATGATGGTTGCATGGAAGGGAACTTTGGCCTCTGCCTCCCAGTAATGGAAGGCAGAGTGGTGGGAGAATTGTCCCTGAGTCCTTTTAAGACACCATACCCCAGTAAGCCATTATCAGAGAAGATACTCATTGGACCATTGGCCTTAGTGCTGCATTCTAATGACCACTGAGCCTTTCCATCATCTTCCTTACAGCTGAGCCTTTCTGTATATGTTATCTCCTATTAGAATGTGAGATCCACTGAGTTCAAATCCAGCCTCAGACACTTGACACTTACTAATGGTGTGAGCCGGGCAGGTCACTTAACCCCATTGCCTAGCAAAAACAAAACAAAAGCAGAATGTGAGCTCCTTGAGAGCAGGGACTGCTCTTGGCACTTAGCCCTTAATAAGTGGTTTTTTTCTTCATTCATTTATTCAAAATGGATTAGAGAGGAAAGAGACTGGAAACAGAGAGCACCATGGCAGTAGTCTGAGCAGGAGCCTGACCCAGAGTAGTAGCCGTGTGTGTAGAAAAGGGGGGATAGATAGAAAACATTACAGAGGTAAAATTGGACAACAAATGGTAAGTGCCCGCTATGAGACGAGTACTGTGTCCTTCACAGCCTATCTTTCCAGATTCATAGTCCACTACTCTTCCACCCTCAAAGATTCAGTCAAATGGTCTTCTCTACTCCTGTCTCCCACCTCTGTGCCTTTGCACTGGCTATCTGATGTGCCTGCAATGGAATTTCTCCCCTCCTACACCTTAGAATGCCCCTTTTCCTTCCAAATGCAGCTCAGGCACCACCTTTCTACATGAAGCCTTTCTTGATCCCCCCAACTGCTAGTGACCACCCTCACAAACTACCTTGAATTTAACAACTTTGTATTTAATTACTTGTATTCTATGTATGCTTATAAATGTCCTTGTTGTCTCGTCCACTAGAATGTAAGCTCCTTGAGAGGAGAGATTGTTTCATATGTTAAGCTTTTATCCCCAGCATCTTACTGGGCACTTAATAGATAGATGTTCATTGACTGAATTGAAGGAAGAAGATTTTTTTTAGAGTCTACATGAAAGACTTTATACTTATCCCTACTGAATTTCATCTTCATTGTTGTTGTTCAGTCATTTTGATTGTATCTGACTCTTTGTGACCCCATTTGAGGTTTTCTGGCAAAAGTACCAGAGTGGTTTGCCATTTCCTTCTCCAGCTCATTTTACCTATGAGGAAACTGAGGCAGACAGCATTAAGTGACTTAGAGTCACACAGCTAGTGTCTGAAACCAGAGTTGAACCCAGGGAGATGAGTTTGACTCCTGGCCCAGCATTCTGTCCACTGTGGCGCTAGCTGCTCCAATCCTGTCAGTCATCTAGCATGTTAGTTG